ACCAACCCGCGCCCTTCGGGAGCAAACCCTGCTGCCCCCGAGGCTCGGGCGGCGGACACCGCTCCTTCTGCGGCTGAATTACCTGGCAGTCCAAAGGCGGAGCAGGGCCAGGCCCCGGTCATCCCGGCTATTGGCCTTGGTCTGGAAGATATGAGCTTCCCCACTCCCTCTCACCGCTTGTCACCCCCTGCTGGCGGCTCCCTTCCCTCTAGCCCCCGGCCCCAGAAGGAGGCAGCTCCATCGACTCTTCCAGCCATCGTCCCCGAGGAAGCGAGTGTTTATAATGACCGTTACGACCAAAATGACTATGAGTATGAGGAAAGGGGTCGATCTCAACGCCGCTCTGTGGAGGTGAACGACTACCGCGAGTCTCGACAGCTTGGTATTCCGGTTCAAGACAACAAGAGACTGTCGGTCGGCTTCCGTCCCCTTCCGCCGGACGAGGTCATGGAGTCAGAAGATCCTGAAGAGCGTGCCAACAGAATCAGATCCTTCTACAAGGAGTACTTCGACCCCGACAACCCGGGCGCTGGTGGCCAACAGCCCCCGCCTCGCGGTCCTCCCATGGGCGGCCCCCGAGGCCGTGGCCCTCCCCCGGGACACCCTCAGTACTATGAGGATGTCGACCCGAGCTTCATGGGTGGCCCGGGAGGCGATGCCTACTTCGACCCCGATACGAACTCGTTCGTTATGCCCTACGCTCAGCCTGTCACTCGTCGTGCCATGACTCCGCCGCCGAACGCCTCCCGTTTCCGCGGCCCGCCCCCTCCCAGAGTCATGCACGGCTCGATGGGTGGACGCATGGCCAGCCCCGGTCCCGGCCCCAGAGGAAGAGGACCACCCCCGCCACGTGCCGGATCGGCGATGTCTAGCCGTCTTGGGCCCTCAAGACGAGGCTCTGACATGTCCAGCCAGTACACCACCAGACCCGGATCATCCGTGTCCAACCGGATGGGCCCGGTGCGGCAGAAGCCCAAGGGACCTCCCCCCGCCGACCTCAACACCCTCCCCAACCCAGCTAAGCTCAGGGACGACACCTTCGCTATCATGAACCCTCTCGACTTCGCTCCTCCCGAAAGCTTTGCCGACCGCGCCCGTGGTCGATCCCAGAGCCCGGCAGGCGAGAGACGTCCCTACCTTCAGCCCAAGGTTGTCCACTCCCCATTGGTCAGCAGCTTCGAAGAGATGCCTGCCATGCCCAGCCCGTAAGTTTTCTCACCCATCTTCCTACACTCACATACTGACCAAGAATAGGCACTTGTTGAGGAAATCGGGAACCTTCACCGCTCTTGACTTTGCTCCTCCCCGTAAGTTCAAGGACGCCGACACGATGAGCGATGCCGGCAGTATTCGCAGCAACCGCAGCGGTATCTCTGCTGTCAACCAGGCCGCCATCCGCAGTGGTGCCGGTAGAGTCAGCCGTCTGCCTGGCGACACGGTCTTCACATCAGCGGCCCTCAATGACCAGCTGAAGCCGTCATGGGGCATGCACCGGTAAATGAAGCATAAAAGCAAAAGGCGTTTTGTTGTTCATATCATTACATTGTTAACCGCGTTTTGATACGGCAGCGCCGAATCTTACGGTCACGACTTTTCCGCGTGCATATTCGCACATAAGGAATTCATATGCTATCATCCCATGTACATGAGTTCGCACACAGACGGTGGGGAGGCAGAGGATGAGGCGTCTGTCTCTCATCGGCCCTCGGACGGGTGTTGCATCAGGGTGTTATTTCTTCTCGCATTTAGTAGCGACATACTGCTAATGTCTTTTTGTGCAACTACACCTTATTTCTGTTTCAACTGCGTGGAGTATTTGGGTCACGACAATATTATATTCTCCCCCCGTTGTTTCCTACGGAGGGCTTGCATATAGAAAAAGGATTGGGAAGCGTTCCCGTCCAAACATCAGTTAGATGATGAATACTACAGAAAGTATACTGAGCACTGGTGCCTTCTTGTGACTGCGACCGAGCGGAGCGATGAGGTTGAGGATCTTAGAGCCTCAGACCTAGTGAGTTTTGATTTCGCTCTCTATCTTGGCGGGTTTGCAGTTTCTTAGAATTTGAGGCTCTAAGCATGTCACGCATCATTGACTTTGGCGATGGCCGAGAGCTTTCCGTCTCTTCTTGAAAGACTGCAGTAGATTGGTATCACAAAGTGGTAAAAAAATAGAGCCGCAACGTAGCAGATATTGAAACGGAATCTATCGCTTGCCTCGTCGAGGATCAAGCGCTTCTGCCCTCCTCTTGTCGCGGATTTCCTTGGTTCCAAGACTGCCGACGCCGCCCTCTGATCTTCGTTCCCAGCCGCCGAGTCTCACAACAAGGCAGGTGGCATTGTCGCCGTCATGCGAGACTTCTGTCGCGTAATCAACCACGTCTTTGGCGCCCTGCTCGGGTGTCCTGGCCTCCTTGATCACGTCGACAATCTCCTGGTCGCTGAGCGTGCCCGATATGCCATCGCTCATGAGCACCAGGAAAGAGTACTCCGCAGGGCCGATCTCGACGCGGGTGATTTCTGGCTCTGCCGATACGCCTATACGCTTGCTTCGCATATCTCCAAAAGACCGACTGTTGGCCAGGCCCATGATCCGCTCCTCCCCAAAGCTATCCCCCGAGACCATGGAGCCAGCTGGAGCATAGCGCCGCAGACGACGACTTTCTGTGGGTGTTGTGGGGTGATGGTCTGATGTCAGCGGTTGCGCGAGGCCGGTAGTGGTCTGACACAACAGGATCCGCGTGTCGCCCACGTGAGCGACAACCAAGGTGGACTGGGCATTTGGATGCCAAAACGGTGCCGGAGTGGGCGTTGAGATGAGAGCTACCGACGCTGTCGACCCTCCCTTGAAGCGCGACAAGCCCCCGATGCCGTGTCCCGAAGGTGGTATATGCGGTGCCCCGAGTATCTCGTCGTTGTTAAGGGGTGAGTCTCCAACGCGCGGGTCGTCAGGGTCCGGCTTGCGGGCTTGGGCAGATATAAAGTCCAAGTCTGCCCTGAGGAAAGCATACATGAGAACCGATTCTACCGTGATGGGAGGACCGTCTCCATCGGTCTCTTCACCCTCTTCAGGTTGTTTGAAGAATTCGGGTGTGAATCGCCGGAAGTATCCCCCAACGGCCTGCCTGTATTGCTCTACAAGGTCATGCTCCATTTTCACGGCCTTTGGCAAGTCTTCCACTTTGGCTGATACGGGGCTTACACCTTTCAGAGGTTCCTTACGCTCGGGATTTGTTACGACACCGTGGGCGTCTTCCTCGGGAACCCGCATCTTCTGCCGGACCTCCTGTTCCGACTTCATGTCCAGCTCTTCAGGCCTGTGAACCTCTTCTTCATCTTTTCGCCCTGTCTCATGTCTAGGGCTTCTTCTCAGGGAACTTTGAAGGCCGAACTCTGCGGAGGCTTGCTCAATATAGCCGTGCAGCTCGTCTCGCAAGAATTCGGCGCACTGGGATCCGCCGTGGCCATCGAAGACGCCAAAGTAGAAGACCTGAGGGTCGCCGAGTGCACTATCAGCCGAAGTAGCCTCATCAGGTTTCTGTATGGGCCTTCTCTGAAGACTGATTGGTCCTCTCTTGGCAAATGCTGGCACGCTTATTGTGCCAGCTTGGTTTGTATCTTCGTTGTATGGCCGCTGGCCTCTAGACGAGAAGACCCCAAAGTGATGCTTGGCACGTCGCAAAGGAATTCGAACGACTGTCAGATCCCGGCTGGGCATGTTGAGCGCCGCAGCAGCGGGAGCAGAGCCGGGCTTCTGCACATGGGGAGTGGATGCATCGCGGGGCAGCTTATGTCCAGGTCCAGACGATCGAGAGTCAGGGTGCATCGACGAGGATGGAAGGTGGGTGACGAAATAGTTGTGGAAGCATCGTCGGTCTCCGGGGCTCGGGAGTCGTCGGGTCAGGATTCGAATAGCTCCATGGCGTTGAGCAATTCGTCGCGCGTGGAAGCGTACTAGAGCTGGCATTTTACTAGGGAATAGGGAGGATTCGGTCAAGGAAGTCAGGAGCGTCACCGGCACTGCAGTAGCTCAAGTAGGACGACCTTGCTACTTGCAGAAGCCATGGACTTCCGACTCTTCAGGCTGAGGAGCAAGAAGGAGGGCGTCGTCGGTTTCCGGCAGGATCTCGGCGCAGCTTCGGTATGATGATGCAAAAGAGGGGTGAGAATGTCAGTGACAAAGTCGGCGACGGCGAGGCATTGAGCTCTTGCAGTGCTGTCGCTACCTGGACAAGAGCGGGTGTCGAGCACAAAGAGAATGGAAATAGTAGAAGGTGGAAGCCGTCAATGGTTGCGTATTTGCTTTGGTTGGCGTTCTCGGTTTAGACGGGGTGAAATATGTTGGATTGGGTTTGGCCAAGGCGAAGGCGAAGGTATGGTTTGCCCTCGGTTGTCGAATCATGGATGGACCCAGCGACGTAATAAGGTGAAGACAAGGCCTGGAAAGGAAGGACGGGAGCCGTGGAGGTGGAGGTTCCCTTTCCGCGTCCCGGGCGGCCTTACCAGGTAGGTAGGTTACCACGCTGGGTGTCACTCCCCAAGCTGCAGCCAATTCCGCACTCTGAAGCGCGCCCTGGGAATGCGGGTAAATGGACTAAGACCCCTCTCAGGCTCTTGTGCAGCTGCCATCTGCTAATATGGACCTGCTTGCTTCGCGGGTTGCATCACAGTGCGTGCTCGAGTCTTATCTAATCATTGCAATTTCCGCGTACAGTTTGTAAACCGACCTCACTTAGGAGCACTGTGTGACCCACTATAGTGACATTACCGTGCTGCCTTGGAGATCAAGGCACCAGAGGCGACGATGATCGGCCTAGGCAAATCATGTCCCCTCTCCCACGCCAGCAACAGGCCCTCACTCTTCTTCCCTCCTCTGATCAACGATCCAGTTGCAAGCTTGTGTCTGGAAACCCTAAAATGGCCATATGCCTCTCGCCTCTACATGTCGAATCCTGAGTCTCGGCAGAAAGTTACCCCCGTCCTTGCTGCGCCGTCTTACGATGGAAGACTCGGCGCCAGTTCAGGATGACACATCGGATCCGTCATCGGGTGATGCCCCCGTCGTCCTCATAGCCGACGATGGAGACATCGTGCTGGACGTTACATTCGAGACATCCAAAGAGACCCTCGCCGCCGCTCGGAAGACTTGGCAAGCTGCCACGAAGAAGTTTGGCGCCCCACGTATTCCTCAGCCCAATCTGAGTCCGAGCATCAAAGTCGCTCATCGCGTCAAGCTCGCCGTCTTGAAGAAGCATTCGCGCTACTTTGCCAACCTTCTCGGAAACAAGCAGTTTGCCGAGGCCAGTAAAGTCGACGAGACTCTGGCTCGCCTGGTGTCCGAGAAACTCAAACTAGCTGAGGTGGACTCCAGCGACTTGCCCTGGATCTCCATTGTGGACGATGATGAGGCTACCCGCTCTATTGGCCGTGAAAAGGTCTTTGAGGACTTGATGAGAATCATGCATGGGAACCAAATACAATCCACCTCCGTCAATATGCTTCATGTGACTACTCTAGCCATTCTGGCGGATCGGTTTGATTGTCGAACCGTAGTCTCGAGATACCTTAGTATCGACTTGAAGTTCAAATGGCCTCTGACAAGTGCCAAACCTGCTCGGGCCGGTACTGTCAAGAAGACTCTTGATGTTGAAAACGTACTCCGGCAAAAGATCTTGGTTGCCTGGCTCTTGGAGCAGCCTCCAAGGCTTCACAACTACACGAGAGAACTCATCCTGCGCGGCTCCGTCCGTTGGAGCAATCTGGCTGTTGAGGAGCCTAGCCGCACAGAGCTGTGGTGGAATCTGCCCGACGACCTGGAGCGTAAGTTCATACCGCTGTCCCCATCAGCGATGTGCCGATGAACTAAACTTGTCCAGGAGAACTGCAATACCGCCGAGAATGTGTCCTGAACACCATCGCGTCGATACAGCGTCACTTCCTCGGACTCTACTCTTCCCGAGAGAGACAATGCAAACTCGGCTATGACTCGAGTTCAGCATGCGACTCCTTCCAGCTCGGCCAAATACTCAAATTCTTCACCGGCAAAGAGTTGATGGGCATCGTCGACTTTGGGCCCAGCTCTCTCGACAACATCCCAGATGCGTCGGTAATCGATATTGAGGAGATACTGGCAACTCTGAAGCAGGTCCCGAGCTACCAGATTGACAAGCACCATACCAACTGTGGTATTCGAACTCGCCTGGAGCCTATTCTGGAATACATCAGGTCGATGCTGTCTTCAACGGTCCTCTCCATCTCACAGGTCGAGTGGAAGGACAGCCGTATGTCTGCCTCATGGATTCCCGATGATGAGAGCTCGGGGCGAGATAGGGAAGAAGAAAGGTTTGAATTCACTCGGGGGTTGGCAAGTGACCAACGACTGCGGTATGAGGGCAACATGTACGCTGATAAGATAGCACGCAAGCTATTCACCGCCGATAAGTGGGATTGGACACCTGAATACTAGCGAATTCGTCCATCAGTCAATTAACGGTGCCGTATTACGCATCTAGCAGTACGTGGCATGTGCCTAGACTATCCCAAGGCAAACGAAATATCTACAGGTTAACTTGCCCGGGCCTCAACAGACGATAGCGCAACTCAGGTGGCCATCGTGACATTACTGGTTGGTCGTCATCACGAGGAAGCTGTGACTGTCTTCGTGGTAGGAGGCACCTTTTCCTTGTCCGAAGCCTTGTCAGAGACTCTGTCGTCAGACTGGGCATCACTACCGCTGCCGACAACACCGTTCTGCGCTGTCTTTGGCTTCATGAATGGCCAGTGTCCCTTGAGCTCGTGGAACCTCATGACGAAGAAGCCAGCCATGACGAAGATCCAGTACACGTTGTAGGCAATGACCGAGCCATAGGTTGCGGAGTTAGTCCATCCCAGAATGGCGTTGAAGATTCCCCAGCCACCGCCTCCGTTGAGTTCAGGGCTGCAGCACTTTTTCCGACTGTTAGTATGCCACGAAGCCACATTCACTGGGGTCGAGAACTCACGTTGACGTGCCACACGCTCTTATCGATGTCGTAAGAGCCCGGTCCGTTCCCAAGCTCCGCAGCATCGCCGCCGACCACGTTGTTCCACGCTTGCTGTTCAAAGTTCGAAACTGCCCTGGTGAAGAGGCCTGCGGCGACGAGGTAGAGAAGGCAAGTAGATATGACGAGGAAAACCTGCAGCTTCGCGGTCGATCCACCCCTATTCGCGGTGTCAGCGACCTCACAGAAGGGTTCGTCGGTACTGGACAGGACTTACTTGTACAGAAGATAACCGACCAAGGCGCCGACGATCAACCCGATGACCACAGGAAGCGGCACGGCGGTCGCGGGGGCCGAGAAGGAGACACCGGCGACGAACACGATGGCCTCGATGCCCTCTCGGAGCACGGTAATGAACGGGAGGACAAACATGGCGTACTTTTCGATGAAGTGCTTGAACCACCCCTTCTTTGCGCCGGTCTTGACGGGGGCTTCCATGGCCTTGGCGAGCTTGACGCGCCACTTCTCCTGCATCTTTCCGATGCGGAGCAGGGCGGCTCCCATGATTGTGATGATGACGGCGGCGAAGATGGAGAAGGCTCCTTCGTAGTAGTTCTCATGGGCTTCCCAGCTGTTACGGCCGAGCTTGTAGAAGACGCCGATGAGGGCGCCCGCGGCGACCAGGCATATCAGGAAACCTATGCCAGTGCCAAGCCATACCTACAGCAGCACAATGAGAAGAAGTTCGAGCAGGGTGGTGGTGTCGGCGTTTCCTTACCTGCCGGCGCAGAGACTTGTAAACGGCGACATCTCTATGAGGGCCGTCGAGTGTTTGCTTCAGGAACGCAAGTAAGACGGAAACAATGATGACGGTCTCGAGACTCTCTCGGAACACGACGAGGAAGACTGGGACGGAGAAGACGTCGACGGTCATCTTGGCATGGATGGATAGAAACGAGGAATCAACATTCAAGCGCGGCCAGGAGAACGGAAAGGAGTTTGGGTAGGGTAACAACCAGTCTTTGACGGCAAAGACCTGATTGATCTGATAAAGATCAATCTGATAATGGTTAGATCAAGCTGGCTGTGTGTGGGGGGGCCAAGGCCTTGGGACGGGCCACCACGGAGGCAAAGGAGCAGAGGCGAGGGCCGAAGGCGGAACGCTAGCTTATCTCCAGGGCAAATGAAAGACGCCAGGCATATCTCGATAATCATCAGACCATATCCCGGCGTGAAATGTTTGACGGGCACAGGCTTTGACCAGCTTGTGACCGGACTGCAAAGTACCCTGCGGTGCACATGAGCCGAGCAGGCAAGATGAGGCGAGGTGGGATGGGACAAGATGCTGGTGCAAGCGTCACAGAATCTTTGGGGGAAGCAGAGCCAATTGGCCTGCCCTCTGATTCCAAGGTTGAATGGGTTACATTCCACCGGGCCCTTTTTCGCATGACAAGCTTTGTGGTCTCGGTTTAGTACCATCGGCTCCTGTTGCTCACGTTGGAGGTCGAACTGGCGGACGGCAAGTGCTACATCCCTACCTTGGACCCGTCTCGCCTTGCCTAGCGTGGGTTGGGGTCTCCGACAGCCAAGGGTCCTCGAGGCATTTATGTCGCTGTAATATTATATGGAAGGCTTTTTGAAAGTTTGAGAGCGCAGAGTCGTGCTGCTGAAAAGCACTGCACGGACACAGCAAGCTTGCTCGGAACATCAAGCGTACTGATGAGACTGTCATCGGCTGGGTCAGGTCTTGTCCGCCTGTGAACATTGCTTGACAGATGCCAGGACATTCCTGATCTTCGAACAGCGATGGAAGCCACACATCGGCAAACGGCACTTGGTCTTTCAGCCACTGTCCGCAGGGCAAGGAAATGGCGGCGCACTTGGAAGTTGATGTGGCAGGCTAAGAGATGAAAAACGCAACAAGTCAGCTTCATCTCGGAACTAGCCAGCGGTAGCCACCTACAAACATTAAGCCACATCTTGTCAGCCCCCTTCATTACTCGCAAACAAATTAGCTGGCCCGAGACGACGATGGCGGAGTCCCATCTTGATCATCCCCATCGGTGCCGATCCGTCACCTGAGAGGTTGACAGTTGGATGCGCTTTACGCCTCTCCCACCGGCGGGCGCTCCTTTCTTCGCAAGCTCTGAGACCAAGCCAACGACACCCTCTTTGAAGACGACAGGAGCGCACGAGATTGACCACCTGCTGCGTACCTGGGCTTCCTCGAGGGATTGAGAAGCATGCGCCAGCTGCAGCCCGTGTGCCGTTCATCCAGAGTTGGCGTCGACCAGCTCGCCCGCCTGGGAGAAGCTAGTCAGAGGTAAGAGAGCAGCAGCACCGGTAAAATGGAAACGGACCCCATCGCCGCCCACCCTCAGGGACCCTTTGGCGGCAGCCCTGGGCTGGTTTAGCGTGGAGGGACAAGCTTTTTCTCGGCTGTAGGGGCCCCAGCTAGCTGATCTTCATTGCAGCAACAACCTTGCTAACCCTGCGATTTTCGACGACTGGGACCATGCCGACTTTCCGGCGGGCCAATCGCTCGACTACGGGCGCTTCGCTTGCGTCGTTTTGGTATTCCGGTCATTAGCGAGGAATCGACATCAAGGGCAACAAGGCAGGTGGCCAGATGCTAAGGTGGTTTCCGGACTAGTGAGGTGTGTGGGTGGCAGCAAGAGGAAAAATGTCTCGTAGCATCTGATAAGATTTGTCTTGCACTAACAAGCCCCTCGTTCTGTGCCGGTCTAGGACATGGAACAGCTTGTGTCGGGGGCACATTGGGAGATCAGATTGATAAGATGCTTCGGCGGCCAGGACGGAGGTCACCCTGGCCAGCAATGGTCGCCACAAGTTGCCGTTTGGTCCAGTCCAGACAAAACCTGCTGAGGTTCATTTCCTTCGCCATCCTCTCCCTCCTCTCTGGTAGTCGGTCATACGTGCTGTCGCTCCTCCTGTCTTTCACTCAGGATAAAAGGACAGACGAAGCAAAGGCCTCTTCCTGGACCACAGGCGACTCTTGGAATTTGACTTTTGCCATTGGTTTTGACCGTTAATTATGGACTTCACGGCAAGAGCATGCAGATTCGGCCTGCTGGCTGCATTACTGCTGCAGCCAGCCTCTGGGGCAACCGTCTCTCACGACTTCAACATTGGCTGGGTGACTGCGAACCCAGACGGCGCTTTTGCCCGTCCAGTCATTGGAATCAATGGGCAATGGCCGATTCCGCGGATCGATGCGAACGTGGGGGATACCATTCTCATTAACGTCCAGAACAACTTGGGTAATCAATCGACTTCCCTCCACTTCCACGGCTTGTTCATGAACGGAACGACGCATATGGACGGACCTTCACAAGTCAGCCAATGTGCCATACCACCAGGCTCGTCGTTCACATACAACTTCACTGTAGGCGGCCTCCTCGATCGCGAAGATCAAGTTTGAACGCCCGGTTGACTCTCTACAGATTCAGCAGCCCGGCACCTACTGGTATCACTCACACACCCAGTCTCAGTACCCCGACGGCCTGAGGGGCCCGGTCGTCATCCACGATCCCGACTCCCCATTCAAGGGTCAGTACGATGAGGAGGTCGTCGTGACGCTCTCCGACTGGTACCATGACCAAATGGCCGATCTCATCCCTCCCTTCATGAGTAAGGGAAACCCGACAGGCGCCGAACCCGTTCCTCAAGCAGCCCTCATGAACGATACCCAGAACCTCACGGTCGCCGTCCAACCTGGGAAGACGTATCTCTTCCGAATGGTCAATATGGCAGCGTTCGCAGGCCAGTATGTCTGGATCGAGGGTCACAACATCTCCATTGTCGAGGTCGACGGCGTGTACACGGAGCCGGCGGACGCAAGCATGATTTACCTCGCCGCCGCACAGCGCTGCAGCTTCCTCGTCAAGACTCTGAACGATACCAGCTCCAACTTTGCCATCGTTGGTAGCATGGACACGGTATGATTCTCCAAGACGCCCCCGTGTCTGGGTTCTCGACTAACCAATGTAGTCCCTGTTCGACACCCTCCCGCCAGACCTCAACTACAACGTCACGGGATGGCTCGTCTACGATTCATCCAAGCCGATGAACCAGGCTGCGACACTCGACAGCTTTGCGCCCTTCGACGACATGACCCTTGTTCCCTACGACAAGCAACCCTTGCTCACCTCGCCTTCGCAGACCGTCGAGTTGGACGTAATCATGGACAACCTAGGCGACGGCGCAAACTACGCCTTCTTTAATGATATCACTTACAAGGCCCCCAAAGTACCCACGCTTTACACGGCGCTCTCGGCGGGAGGCAACGCAACAAACCCGCAGGTGTACGGAACATATACACACAGCTTCGTCCTCGAGCGCGACGAGGTCGTGCAAATCATCGTCAATAACCTTGACCCTGGCCGCCACCCCTTCCATCTCCACGGCCACAACTTCCAGGCACTCTACCGCGCTCCCGAGGAATGCGGAACGTTTGAAAATGCGAACGTCTCAGAGGCGGACTTCCCAAAGACCCCCATGCGGAGAGATACCCTCGTCGTCTGGCCCAATGGCAACATCGTGCTCCGCTTCAAGGCCAACAACCCCGGCGTCTGGCTCTTCCATTGCCATATTGAATGGCATGTTACCTCTGGCCTGATGGCAACGTTCGTCGAGGCACCGCTTGACCTGCAAAAGAGCCTCACAATCCCCCAGAACCACAAGGATGTATGTGCTGCGGGCAACGTGCCCATCACCGGCAACGCGGCGGCGAACACCCTGGACTATCTCGACCTGTCCGGCCAGAGCACCCCGCCAGCGCGTCTCCCAGACGGGTGCGTACTCCCGGATCCCATCTCCACTGCTTCATATATGCTGACTTGTCATGACTAGATTCACCGCTCGTGGCATTGTTGCCCTTGTTTTCAGCTGCATCACTGGCATCCTCGGCGTCCTTGTGGTGGCGTGGTACGGCCTGGCGAAGACGGACGACGGACCCTCCGGGGCGGGGTATACGGCACCAACGACCGGAGCGGCGTCCGGAGCGGGGCATGTCAGCGAGGACCAGCATCAAAAGGAGCCGATTATTGTCGGAGCCGGGTCTGGGAGTTCAGGAATTGCACGTACCTGACCGTCGCAGTGAACCTGGCGGGCATGTGGTGTTATTATTAGAATGTAAGCGACTCGGTGATTGGGTGTTATACCCAAGACGCTGGATTAGATCACGGATGCTCAACCGAGATGAGGCGTGACCACAATATTAGGCGAAGATCCATTCGTAGATAATCCTGGCATCCCCAAATGTTGCCGTCAGTCAAGTGTTCACTTGCAGAACCACCGTAGTTTACAACATAGCATTGCCGAGAAGCACTATGAACGAGTAAAACCTCAATTAATCTACTATTGGATGAAAATTCAAAGGGGAAAAATGATAGACTCCAGACTCCTGAGTTCGACATTTTTGTCGATTGTGGTCCCTCCCCCTTGTCATCGGCCGTGACCGGCCAGCCATGCTAGATGGCGCTTGGTTTCATTAAATATCACACACGAGAATCAGTCAGTCGCTCTCATGTGGTCCTACATGCGCCCACATGTCCTTCTACGACGCAAATATGCCTACAGCGGCTCTGCTCCTTTGGATCTCCAGAAAACTCCTCGTTGAAAGTGACCTGGCTTCTCTCGCCAGACCGTCTCATGTCTCCAACCTAGTTCAGCTCGCCCAATCACATCGCATGAAGCCGGATGTGTGTATTGGGCTGATTCTGTCGGGCAAGTCATCTCGACGCAGCCTGTCAGGGCGTCATGATGTCGTTGGCGTTGCGCACAACCCGCGTGCTCCCTTAGGTGCTCTTCACCTTCCTTGGAAGACCCTGCGCCCGCCTCATTGCGAGATCGCCCTCGGCAAGCCACTTGCTCGCCTTGACGATTTGCACAACATTGATAAACTGCTTCATG